TGTCAAGAATAACATTCGTTGTTCCTCGTTTTTGTCCATCAATTCTTTATCAATATGGTTAAAAATCATGCAAACAATTGTACTTTTCCTTTGTTCGGAAATATCAAGTTCAAAATCCTTTGCCATAGCCTGGAGCGTTTCTTCGGGTGCTTGACAAACCGTTGTTTGCATCTCTACTTGTAGTTCTTCAGCCATAATCGCCAGCAAATCACCAAAAGCAAAGATCAAAATACGAAAATCAAGAATTTAGAAAAGCGTAAAAATCATACTTTTTCCTTCGCATTCACAGCTTCTTTTATGTATAAAAGTCTCGGTGGGACCTCCAATTTGTTGCCAGCTCACTAAATTCTCGATCTATCCCATAATTCACGTATTAAAACAGTAGAAAGCACAATTTATTTCGTAAAACAATGTGAACATTAATAACAACGTGGTTTATTAATCGCCATCTTGGAAATCTGTTTGTCTGTCCTTTCTCGTTACTATGGTAACTGTCACAACTGCATGATGCAATAGTTCCTATTTAACTAATGTTACATGACGTATTGCTAATGGGCATCCTACACATGCGCAACCTCATTTTAGTAAATTACATTTTCCGAATTCTTTTGAAAAAAAACTGCCAAAATGTGTATGGCATTGTTGAGCGTCTCATGTATGCATGTTGTTAACTGTATTATATGATTGCATGTAGTTGTGTTGTTTATTTTGCTACTGTATGTATTTTGAAGGTTTAAAAATAAATGTACAAAATAAATGTACAGTCACAAATAATGCATAAAAAAGTTATATTGTCGTTAGAGAGAAAGAACGTTTATAGATTGTAGTCAAATAACAAAACAGTTCGTAAAATGTACCAACCAAACCGCTTGAAAAGTGGCCTGGAACGAGGTTGTGAAGTATCTTGGGAAATGCACATTGCAGTTTGTACGTATCTATTGGATCTTGTTTAGGACGGTCTTGAGTAATATTTGTCTTGATTAAAATGGTAAAGTCGGTGTGCATTCTTGTTCTCTTTTTATGAAGAACATGGACTGGACCTTCCTGGAGTCCTGCTCAATCTCTATCAAGTGTACTCATCTCTATCCAGTCACTTCTCAATGAAAAACCATACCACAATGAACCAGGATTTGAGCAGGTACACTATACCGTTAGTAGAATTAGTGAATGTTAGTAAACGAATACCATCTTGTTGTTCATTGATAAAATAAAAGTAATGGTGTAGTAAAAATAAGGAATCAAACTCTACCATAGAAACCAAACATACTAGGCAATTAACGGAGGTAATGATAATCACGGAACGTTGAAGTTTGAGAAAGTTGACAACGTTTAGTAAACAAGATCAATGTTTACCCTAATTACTGGTGTCGAAATGACTGTGTTCAAAATAATATTATTTGGCATGTCCTCATTTTGACCAATTTACCACGCACATATGATCATGATGTGTGTAACGTCTACGATGTGTAATCACATTAACATGCATTGTCTTCAATGGGCATATAAAAAGGGTCACTCCACAGAGCTCTTGTTAGTCAAAGTGACAGAGGACTGGAGAAATGCACTTTATAACAAATTAGTTGTAGGAATTGTATTCATTGACTTTCCGTTTCCCATACCCTACTCCTGAGAAAGCTACAGAGTCCAGGTATAGAAAGTGATATCTGGCTTTGGCTAAAGAACTATCTACAGGATAGAGAAATGTCAACGATTGTAAATGGAACTAAGTCGTGCTCAAGGGAAGTTAAGTATGGGGTCCCACAGGGATCCGTCTTAGGACCTATGCTATTCTCTCTGTTTTGTAATGGCCTTCCTGACATCATTACTGACGAAGAAGGCGATATTGAAATGTACGTAGATGACACCACTATCTACACTGTGGGCTCAACTTCTGACATTGTCGCGATAACCCTGAATATCGTATTAGACCAAATGTCAAAATGGTGTCTTGACAATTTACTCACTCCACATCTCGGAAAGACAGAGTATATGTTTTTAGGGTGCTCCAAGTTTATCGGGCCCCCTTCAGAAAATCAAATTTGCTTCTGCAAGTATCAAACAGGTTCATTCAAAAACGTGTTTGGGTTTACAAATTGATTCTGGTTTTAAATGGGATATTCATACATCTGAACTGATAGTAACATTCAATCGAAATTCAAGTCGCTGTATTTTCTTCCCAAGCAAGCAAAACTAGACCTTTCATCACTTATGGAATTCTTATATGGGGATCTGTAGGTAAAACCACCTGGGACACTCTAGAGAAGCTCCATACAAGAGCAGCTAGAATCATGTATGGTTATTCCTGGGACATCTCGTCAATTGAAACCCAGAGACTTGCTAACTGGAGAACTCTTAAACTATTTTATCAATTAAAACTTAATTATCATTATAAGTCACCTCTCCAGCTTCAAACACTATTTATACTAAAAGGGAGAGAACATATGACTTCAGATCAACTAACTGTTTATGTCTTCCAAAACCAAAAATTGGACTATTTGAAGAAATCTGTATCATATCAAGGAGTAACTCTATGGAACTCTCTTGATAACGAGTCAAGATCATCGGATTACAAGACCCTGAAGAAAAACTTTATTCAACAGTTTGATAGTTACTGTAGGATTAGTAAGTTAGGAAAAACTTAATATTAGTTAAACTAAATTCACGACCGCATCAGCTCTGCAGCCTCTGCTGTAAAACTGATCGTCATTAAATAAATGCTTATTATTATTATTATTAATATGAGAAAATTCATAAAAGTCTCCCTAAAAGATTTTTAAATCCTCTAAAAATCCCATGGCATTTTTGAAATCCCAAATATCTCGTAAACGTTTTGGTGTGATAAATCGCTCGATTAAATACCCCTCGGCATCTTTCCTTTGAAACCAGCTGCCATATACATTGTACCAGCCTAGCCCTAGGCTCTCTCTCGCGCGTTGTTAGCTATGCTTGATTCATAGGGGTACGAAGGGGGTACATGCGGGGACGTCACAACTAACTGACGTCATACCTAAACCAGCCAGTCTTATCAGTTTTATCTGTTCGTTTGTTCGTTGGTGCAAGCTGCAGAACGGCTACGGACTAGGCTGACATTGTACGCTTTTCCAAGTACGCTTTCTCCAACGAAATGACGCAAAATGTGAAGGGAAAGTTCCCAACTGCTTTCTCGTGAACTTATATAATTATGTCCCCATGCACTTTTCCAATTTAGTTGAGAAACAGTGCGTTCTTTCTTTCTTTCGTTTTTCTTTCTTTCTTTCTTTCTTTCTTTCATTCTTTCATTCTTTCTTTCATACAGGAGAGACAAGTGGGAGACAGTAAAAAATATAATGACTGTATACAACATGAAACGTTACGAGTGGCTGTCTGTGATATGCTTGAAAATGAATCATTATGTTGTTCCTCTTTAAGGTAATTCATTTTAGTTTTAATCGATTTCATTATATTTGTACTCTATAATTACTTTATTTATTTATGTATATATATATATATATATATATATATATATATATATATATATATATATATATATATATAAAAAAAAATATATATATATATATATATATATATATATATATATATATATATATATATATATATATATATATATATATATATATATATATATATATATATATACAGGGTGTATCAAAAAAGCGCAATCCTCGACTGAAATGTAAATTGCTAAACAAATAATAGACGAAAACGTTAAAGTTTACATTCATTTTAAAGCGTAGCCATTCAGCTTTCTAACAGTGGGTTGTTTCTTAAATTTGACTCATTGGTTCGCGGGTAATAATACTTTACGTTATTGCGATTGGAGATTAAAAAAATTGAGATGGAATAACAAATCGTTCTCATGAAAATAACTGATTTTTTCATTAAAACAAAAAAATGTTGCATTTTATTAAATGGATTGTAACAATAAGTATAATTACGGCTTTTCTTCCACTATTTTTAACTCAGTTTGAAACTTCAAATGCGATATAATTTTGGCTTGGACCATCTAAGCTGACTGACATCAACTTGCTATAATTTCTGTTTACATTACATCGCAATTCGATGACACTCTGGCTCAGACACCAGAATGTTTTGACGATTTTAGCATTCGTTTAGGATTTTCAAACAACCTGGTCTCTTTTAAAATACTTTTAATTTGTTCTTACGTGGTTTTCCAGATGTAGTGACGACAACATTAAAGTTTAAAGAAGAAAATTCTAACATTTAAACCGACTAAACAATAACATAGTAAACTTGCATAATTAAACAGCAACTAAAAATGATAGGTTTTACTAAATCTTTTCCTGTGCAATTATTACTAGCATTGGAGACAAGGATAATAGTTTGTTTGAAAGAGAAAAGAACAGGCTTTGAAGTAAGCCTAAAAGCGTTTAACTAGAAATAGTATTTCGAAAGTTATTAAGCACAAAAGATGAATTGCGTTTATTTTGATACACCCTGTATATATAAATCTCGAAACCAAAGCCCGCAATCCTTTGTGGAGGCTTGCTGAGGCTCTGGGAAACACCGGTGAAAGTCGGGCTCTGACTCTGATTGGTTGTTTTTCAACATCCTCGTCCCCAGGCCCAAGCGGCCCTCAAAGTTTTTCAAGTACTAATTATTATTCAAACTTTGAGCCGTATTTAGTTATTCGGATTTCAAACATCGTTTAAAATTAATAAAAAGTTTATTTCTCTTTGTGTATTATGTTTAAACATATCAATGAAACACACAGCATAATTTTAATAAATTTATTAATCTTCCTTAGCTTCTCATATGAAATCAATAGACTATTCAGATATTGATATGTCAATAACAAAATGTAGAATAACAGTGCAGCATTACCATATAAGCTCATGATAAGCCGTTGCCTATAATATTTAAAATAACCAGGGGTCGATAACTTATTTTTGTGCCTGGGACCGCAAATTTTTTTTGAAAATGTGCCTGCAAAATGTCTGCATGCAAAATGTAAAATCAAGACGTGAGCCATCAGCCGTAAGTTACTAAAGGTGCCGTTTAGTCGGCTACGTCGCCAGACGCTACAAACTAGTAATGGTAGTAAATTAAAGACTTATTTTAAGTTAGTTGTCCATAATTGTAACCTGGAAGTTTTGATTTCCTTTGAGCTTTCCATGAATGACTTTCGAAACTTCAAATGGCTGAAGCTGACTACGTCGCCAGACTAATTAATACAATTTATGAAATATATACTAATATACAAACGACAATAACGACTAACGAGAAAACTACCAAGCTAAAGACATATTTAAAGTTATTTGTCCATAATTGGAAGTTTTGATTTTTCTTTGAACTTTCCATCGATCACTTTCGAAACTTCAAATGGCTGAAGCTGGATACGTTCAGACTTCCTGATGAAATGCCAAAAATCATCTCTCTTTGATTCCTTTCGCCAATACTCCGTCATTGCGGCTTTCACAACTCCTCCACAACGAGAAACTATGGGACCATTCAAAGAAATCTCCATCTCCCGCCGTCCTCTGTCCTCTGATACATTTCTCTTCTTGTTGATTCGTGATTCATACACAGAAACGTGCGACTCAACCACTGATTCAACTGACATTGAGATGGAGGCTACTGAAAGGACATGCATAACCATTTCAATTCCGAGATAAAGTCCTCTTGCCGAGTCAAGGAACATCTTCAACACCCCCATACTATCAGGTTGATCTTTCTCTTGTATACGGCTCGTCACTTTCTCTAAACGACGCAGGAATTCTTTATATTGGGCAGCTAATTCGACATCGGGTATTTGGATGATGTTTGACGCAATTTTCTTTCCATTTTTGACGAATGTTCTTGCCTCCAGAGATCCAATCATGGTCGATCCTCGCAATTTGACTTTGTTTGCTAATCTTCTCAAATCGAGTAGTGGTCTTAGTTGTTCAACCAAAGATGTGGCTTGGTCGTCGAAAACAGAGACGCTTAATTCCTCGCTTAACCTTTCTGCCAGCTTCTTTATACGCGTTGTTGCTGTTGCCACTACGTCCATTCTTTGGTTTTGCAAAACTGTAAAAAACCCACGTCTTGTCCTGTTCTGCTCGGGATTATCGTCCAAAATTGGAATACCTCGGTATTTGCCAGTGGTGAGAACACTCTGTAGGTCAGCGTGGTATTTTGGCCATAAACAACTCCTCTTTCCATCTTTGGACAAAGGACATTTTTCATGACTTTCAATGACCTTCGACATTTGCAGCAGCTTCTCTACGCAAACTTCATTAAATTTGTCGAACCGTTCATGTGGTAGAATGCTCACGATTTGTAGGATGTTGATGCCATGGCCAAACGTGTCGTAAATATCGCAGACACCAGAGAGTGTTAAAACAAACATCTTGTTCGCAATTTTGTTCTTGAGCTGCGCAGCATCTGCCGCAGTTTGTCTGCTCTTCGCATCCCTGGCACCAGAGTTATGCATTTGGGTTTCCTCCAATGTACTAAAAAGGGCTGGATAGTCCTTACGAAGCTGCCCATAGACTTTTGCACAGTGGTTCGCAAATTTGGTCTCGCTGTAGAACATAGGGAAACCGCGAAAGACATCTGCCTCAAAACTTTCATCCGATTTCAACCTTTCAGCTACAGAAAAAAAATGTTCAAATTCTTGTCCCCAGTTAATTGCTTTGAACAATGACGAGATATCTTCAGTAATTTGAACGAGCCAGCTATA